AGTATTAGTATTAGTATTAGTATTAGTATTAGTATTAGTATTAGTATTAGTATTATTATCATTACTATTATTATTATTATAATATTGTCTAAGCTAATAGGTATGGTCAAATTCAAATAAAGTAATATTAGAACTGAATCGTCAAACGTTCTGAACATTGTCGACTTCATATTTTCCGTTCACGGCTACAGCTCAGCGTTCAATTTGGTATTAGTCAATACATAGGAATAGGTCATCAATATAAAAACACACGCGCATATAGTCACGTCTATGCGTTTCTTCTGGGGCTCAACTTAGGAATCATAGGCTTAAAACTTTCGAAAGATAAAGTAATTCAGGGGTCTGAACGTTAGCTATGCAGATGTAGATAGAAATTTTGATGTATAGAAGTCAAGAGTACATACAGGAAAAAGTATTCCATTATTTATTTATATATATATAATTAAACTTATATATATATAATTACATATATAATTAAACTTATATATATATATATATATATATATATATATATATATATATATATATTCAAGTTGTACCTTCTGCTTGTCTTTAGCGATTTCTTCTTCCTTCATTTTATCCAGATTGTTTCTCTCCTCGATTTTACGCTCTTTCAAAGTTTTCAACAATTTCCATTTGCTTGTGCCCAAGTTGGCGCTAGCGCTGTTTGGGGTAGCCACCTGAGACCCCTCGACACTTGAGTCTAAACTAATAAGCTTAAATGACGACGCATTGAACATTGATGTCGAATCGGCGACTGGCACACTACTCTCCTCTGATTTCGCTACATTCACTGCGCTATTATGTATGTCGATTAGCTCGGAGCTCTCTTCTGGCAAAACTGCTGATGCAGGTGCTTCTTTTTCTGCATTAGTCTTCTGAACAATATCTAGATCGGCACCATTTTCAACCAAATTGTCATCCATTTCATCACTTTGAGCTGCTGGCGTATCCGGACCAGATGTGGCACTAGATGACTCAATTGGTTGTTCATCGTTTAGCTGAAGTGGAGTGGGAATAAGGTATGATCTATGCTTTTGCTTATGCTCGTACTCATGCTCATTGTCGCTTGATGAGTAAGATGAACTTGAGTCCGATTGCAACTCGTCCTGTCTTTGATTAGTAACTTTTGACCTGTCGCCTTTTCGACGTTTCTTTTTGTTGACTTGTGTGCTTACTTGTGTTTCTACTAATGCTAATGTTCCTATTGTAGTCTCTTGTGAGTTGGAGCTGCTAGGCAGTTGATATTCATTATTAACGTCCTGCCAAGCTTTATGCATATCTGACACTTGAACTAAGTTTTTTTGCTTCTGTTTGCCCAATAATTCGGAGTCATCTGATTTTGGAGGGCGACCATCTGTATCCTCCGGTTTCAGTTGAACAACGCATCTTAGTTCGTTCAAAACCTCAGACATCTTGTGCTTAACTGTCTCATCTGGGACGTAGTAACTTTCTGTACTTTCTGTACAATAAACGCTGTCCCTCAACACCAACTGACCAATCTGTGTGAAGAGCACTTCATTGTCTGAATGCTGCGCGTAGCTATTTTGCTCGGCGTCAGCTTTTGCCAAGGCTTCAGCTTCGAGCTCTTCCAAATGTCGCAGCTCATAGCAAAAGTATTCGTCATCTGTGTCAATGCTATCCTCCGTGCTCTGGCGACGTGATGAGGACAACGTGCGCCCGGAATGTTGACTACGATTGTCATCATCCTCCCTCGATGAGACATAGTAAGGACTGTTAGGTATGTCTAACGACTGCACATGATGATGCTGATGCTGATATTGATGTTGATGATTATAATCTTGTTCAGTTAATTGTGGTTCGCTAATGTCCGACGACGTCATTGCCACCATGAGTGAGGGAACATTAAATTTTTTAGGCTCATACACAGCTTGTGAGCAATCACTGATGACCTTCGAAGCAGTAACTACAGCAATATCCAAGGGAGAAGTTGAAGCAATATCTATGATAGACACTGCGCTGACATCAGCCGAATTTAAGGCAATAGCTGATGTAGCTGAAGAAGAAGCAGATGCAACAGCATCAACTCCATCGTTATCTCTTGAGGTAATCATTGGTTGAGCAGTGACATCTACCTTGTTCTCCGGCAGGATTTCTTCATGCTGTCGCTCAAAGATTTCCAAGCTCTGGCACTTCTGCTCATCGGGCGCTATAAGAGAATTTCTTTTTAGGTCTCCAACAACAGCAAACAGATTCATTTCTTGTTTAGCACGAGCGTTCGTATTGCTATTCTCAATATAAGAATTAGACTGCCCATTTCCGGTGGGAATTGAGCTATGCCAATCGTGCTGATGTCCCCAATCATCATCATCACCATCGTCATCATCAACATCATTGTAATCATAATTATTGTTCTTGTGTCTTGTGGTCTCAATTTCACTATTAGTCGACTCCTCCTCTGAAGCTGTAAAAATAGTGTTGTCCAATTCGGTATCTGAAATGCTAGATCCGTGGCGCAGGTTAAAGCTGTGCCGTTTATATGATTTCGCCTTCTGCATTATCCTATTCATTTTATTAGAGAATGAACGTGGTTTCTTTTGCCTAGTAGCTAAAACGGCAGTAGAATCACTTGCTCGTTGCATGATACGCATTGGTAATTTTTTAATACGCATTGTTAGGTCTTCACGTTGACTTCCAATTGGATCAATTGATGCACTCAAGGTGCCAATGGCAGAGGCAGTCCCTGTGGCAAACGGATACGAACCAGCCTGACCACGAACCAGCATTTGAGAGTGTTGCGGACCAATAGCGGCGTTGCCACCAGGCAGCGACTGAGAGCGTTTGCATCTCGTATAACGCTTTAGCTTCAGATTGTCCGGCAACAGATTAGACAACTTATTCCAAACTTTAGGATGCTTCGATTCGATGGCTTTACCATACGATTGACATGATCGCGGTTGTGAGTCTACCGGCTTTTTTGAACCTGGCGGTTTATGTTGACTGTTTTGCAGTGATGACGACGATGATGATGAATGATGATGATTATTCGACTGATGACAAAGTTCCAAATAACCCAGATTATTGGTGCTGTTATAGTCGGCAATGCCATTGAACGTGGGATAATAAACGAGACGATCCGCTAGAGCGTGGCGTTGAGGTGTTTGATCAATATCCGTTTCCATATAGCCATTAGTTGATGTCACCAATCCTTCCATGTCGTGCGACAATTCGTTTTTCAAAATATCAGGCATTATGAAGTGGCTTACACTTTTTGTACTCACATTCAGATTGTTGTTATCCGAAAATAGTTGAGTTGTTTTGTTGTTCGGCTGAAGCTTCCGTTGATCCCATTTGAGAATTTCATCAATTGTTGAAATTGGTTCATTAGCATTCTGATTTGGATTCGACTCGGAAAACATTGATTTATTTTCATATGCTGAGCAAATTGGTATATTTTTAGATAGCTCATGTATATAGTTAAGGTTCTCCTCGCTAAACACATAATCGTTATCCGATTTTAACTGGTGATACATATTGATATCGATATTGGAGTCCGCATTAATATTATTTACTTTATGCAATTTATTTAACTTGAGGTCGCCACTTGTCTGTAGCTCTTTCATCATATGTATCATTTCAACAGTCATATCATTGCGTTTGCTAAAGCTGGTATTCTCATTCGAATTCGGTGACCAGCCACTCATAGACGTCAATCCAGAGTCAGATTTAGCTCGTAGTTGTGGGTGTTGATGCAGCGGCTGCTGTTGTGGCTTAAGAATGTGTTGGGCAAATTTATTAGCACCAGGTATGTCCAATAAATTGTCGGATACAATATCATTGGGTGCTGGCGGTGGAGGACTTGAACCGCTTACGTCTAACAATATATCGTCCAAATCGGTAATAGCGGCGTCTTTGTGCTTATCGGGATTTTGTAAATGTAACAGGAACAGCATATTATTATGTTTTTCAAGACTTTTTTTTAATGACCTTATATATTCATCTTGATTGTAAATGTTTGTTAAAGACTGCTCAGCAAAACTGAAACTCTTCCGTTGCTGATCCCTTGGACTCGGGCTCGACAATAAGGGTTCTCCGCTCTTGACCACTTCCAGTTCTAACTCCCTATTTTTTGTAATTTTATCAATATTTTGCTTACGATTTATTTCGATTTCTTGGGTTTCTAATAACTTTAATTGTTCATCCAAATCAGAATTATTACGTATCAAATGGGCGCTATAATCATTTGAAGAAGTTGCAGTCTTTGAATCGGATCCAGCTTTAATTATGTTTGTATTCACATTTGAATTAGAATTCGAAAATGATTTTGAATTGTATTCGGAATCGAGAACGGAATTGGAATTTAATTGTGTCGTTTTGTTTATTTTATATTGCTCAAACGAATTTCCAACTAGTTTCTTTAAGGTATCGATATTTTTCTCGAATTTTTTCATTACTAGCTCAAATTTTTGATCAACCTCAATAACCCGCAAACGTCTCAGTTCTTCGGCTATGGTGACAGGATTTAAGAGAAGTAACGCTAGATGCTTATCCACTTGATTCAGTTTCTCAAAGAAAGTTTGCTCAGCTCTGATTGTCTGCCTCAGTTTAAGTATTTGAGATCCCGATAATGATTGCAGATCGCTTATTTTATTTATTTCCCTTATTATAACTTCAGTCATGGCATCTAGTACAGCAACACTTTCTTCACTCCTATCTTCCGAACTTGAAAAAATTGTCGTGCTTCCAGAGTCTGGAACTGATGACAAATTCAACTGGGTGTTAGTTGCATTTGAATCAGGTGTTTTATCTGTATTAGATGCTTGGGCCAGAATATGTTTCAAATTGTTTATCATATCCATTTCGTTCTTGTGATGTTTCTTTTTTCGATGTTTTCGCAATTCTTTACCTTTAAATGCCGTTTGCTCCGTTGCTTCTTTACTAAAATTCACAGAAGTCTCGGCTAGCATAAGCGAAACGGGTAATTGTCCATTAATCAATGAGTCGTGAGCTATTTCGGACTGCTGTAGTAATCGTTCCACATTGCCTATTTCAGTAGTCATATCGTTGTAGCGATATGCTTCATTTAAATTCTTGTAAAAATTTTCATTTATCTCACAATCGAGTGTCGTACCTCCAGGGTCTTCTATGGGTACTATCTCGTTTCCACCCTGGCCGGATTTAACGGCTGTTGAACGAAAAAACTTCACCTCATCAACGAGCTGGTCAAGTTCAGACGACGTATCAGCTAACATTTCCTGAGATGATCTTTTAAGACATTGTATATTACGCAGACTACCGCCAGTTGATGCCGACACTGATGTTGATGCAGATGCAGCTACTTGTTCCAGAACTCTTTGTCCGTTCAGAAATTCCTGCAATAATTCGGCTCTGGCATTGTTGGCCATTATCTGTTGCTGTTCGTACATCAACAGATCCGATTCGGAGTAAAGTTTTGCTCGGGAGCTAGCTCGAGTGCCGCTCTGATTCACATCAGCTATATTTGCTAACCAATCGCATTCATCCCGCTGCAGCTGCTTTTGCTGCTGCTGCTGCTGATCCTTCTGTTGGTGGTCTGTTTTATTAACTTGCAGATAGTGGTTTTCACTGTTATTATCCATATCTAAGGCATGGGTGCCGACTTCGTCTAAATACAGATCATCATGATTCGCTTTCAATTCCTCCAAGATATGACGAAAGTTGGACTTTTCTATCTTTGATTCATTCAATATATCCATATTTTCATCCAATTCCAATTCCATGGGCAACAGTTGACCTCCTGCTAAAAATGCTGCAAATGGAATTTCCGAATTCGGCAGCTGCTGTTCTTCTTGCTGCTTCGTTTGAATGAGACCCATTAAATTTCCAACTACCGATTGCTGTTCTACAGATATGTTTTCCAATTTCTCCAATCTGGTCCATATTTTGCCATACTCGTTTGAGAGCAAATCAAGAGCCCGCCATGCAAACTTCAGCTCTGTCTCTAACAAACTAATTCGTGTTGCGATCTTATCCATATAGTCTGAGATGATATAATCGGAATGCTGTTGCGAATTGTAGAGCTGACATAGTTGTTGCTCGCTACTGATCGATGCCATGCTACCATTATTCAGATTCGATCTGGACATTGACATGGACAGATTGTCGCTAAACAAACTCGATTGTGATTGCTGTTGCTGGTGCTGCTTATGTTGCTGGGACTGCTGAGGCTGCTGATGATGGTGTTCTCGATGAATTTGCAGCTCTTTTACCTTTGCTGCATCTAGTTGTTGCTGCTTCAATTGTTGCTTGATTTTAAATTGACTGTGCAATGCATTTGCAGCCACGCTGTAGGGTTCCGCTTTAGCCTCGACTTCTTCAATGACAGATATATTGGTGCTGCTGTTGCTTTTGACTGGCATCGCGAATGATGACTGCAGCAGCAAGTCGGCTTTTGCAACTGATGAAGGCTTAAATGACATCGGCGTATTTGTTGCTGTTTTTGTTGATGACATCACGACTAAATATTATATAAATTCAAAACTATATGCATTGTAAAGAGATATATACATTGTGTGATAACATACGTTCGCCAAATTCCACACTTTCACACCGTTTTTTTTTTTTTTATGTCTAACGACTGCTGATTTTAGGACTATGATATAAAATGATATAGGTATTACAGCCGACGTCTTAACCTTGTGACTTATCGCAGAGGAAAGCTATATTTAATAAGTTGGTTAGATATTCAGATTCCACGGTAACTTTGTGGACAGTGACATTCGGAAGAATAACATTGTATGAGTGAAACATCATAAGTAGATTAGACTGCACAAAAACTAAAACACACTTTGATAGCAAAATGTTGTTTGGTGTTTTCAATATGAAAAACAATTTAAATTATCAATAATATAAAGAAAACAACAGAGCTTAAAGGAATCGATTTAAAAAATCGCTAGATCTGTGAGGTACATTAACAACTGTCGCAGCTCTGCATATCGAACACTGCAGACATGTACCAATGTACATTGATGTCAATCACCCAATAGTAATAGTATATTTATATATATATATATATATATATATGTATATATATTTTTATGTATGTACGAAACATATATTCTTTTAAATTGTGCACACACAAAGTGCTGCTATGAAAGATATGCCGTGTCGTTATGTGACACAATTAAATTATTTCCATACATTAGTATGTATAACAACATATACGGTATACGTATTTTGGTTTCGTTTGCTTTTCATTGTACTCGAAGGTATTGCTTTCGTTATTGTTGAAATTGAATGTGCTGAACAGCTATCTATACTGCCACGTTAGTTTTTGCGAGCTTAAGGCTACTTTTGATGTATTTAAGAATGTTTATTTATTTTTTAGTAAAATCTTCACTTAGTAACAGAGGCCTGCAACTGAATTGGTCTGAATTGGAAAACGCTGAAAAGTATACTACATCTTGTGTAGTCCGTGTTCATGTGTGCCAATGCGTAAGTATGTATACTCTAGGGTTGTCGAATATTTTTAAAATGTCGTATCGATGATATATTATTTGATATTATTATTGATATTATTATTATTATTTGATATGAAACTTTAAAAAATCTATATATCAATGTTTTTCGATTTTAAAAAGTGTTGTTGCTAAATTTTAAAACTAAAAAAACATTAATAAAATTAAAAAGTATGTTTTATTAAAATGATAAAGGACCGATAGTCTGGCATAACCGCTCTATGAGAAATCTATAGATTAATTTGGATTGACAGTGTAAGCCCCATAGTGCTTGTGTTTCATATGTGACGCCATATTTTAAGTGTTACCAATTGTGTTTATTATTTTAAGGCACAAATTACATATGACTGTTTCATTTTTAAAGCCCAAAAAATTCGTTTTCACCATACATTTTTTACTTTTAGCTGGGTTTAACTATCACAAGAGTGACCAACGCAAATATATAAAAAAAATCGCAAAAAATATTCGATATTTGACAAAAAAAATTACGATATAATTTCCAAAGAAAAAAATCGATATATTGCTATTTCGACAACCCTAGTTTACTCCCACAGAACTCGTAGCAATCTATGGTACACAGGAACAGCTACGGGAGTATATAAAATTCATCTGTATTCAAATGGAATACACACTCAAAAAGACAGAGAAGCAAATAGGGAGGTGGCAAGAGAGAGTGTGAGAGTAAACAGATGAGCCGCATTTGAAAGTCGGGTGATGTTCGGGTCGGTTTACTGCGCATGCGGTTTACAGAATAGCTGGCAATAGTTGTAGAAGGGAGTTCCTGGGTGACGCTCTCCTAAGCTTTTCTGAGTCTAGCACTGAGAGAGAGAAAAATAGAGACTTTTATGTGAAGCTTAATAGTGGTTGTCTGCTCAGCTACATACATATATGCTTGGTGTTTTAACTTTAACATCGGTCATCCATATAAGCTGCATACAGATTAGATTAAGCTATACCTTTTAAAAAAGCATGCATGCATACCATATAATCATAATCAAAAAGCTAATAATACGTACGGTGACCGAGAATATTAACGTATATCGAAAAACGTAATTTTACTGTCAGGCTGTCTGTTCATATAAAAGCAGTTTTTCGGTGCTATTGAAGCTAGAGACTCGAAATATGGAACGCATACTAGTGTATATCTCTGATTTATAAAGTTTTAAAATTTTCCTGATCTGTCCTCTAAGGAAAATCGCAAAACGCATTTTCGGATTTGCCAGAAATTATATTGGTTAAAGAGCTAGAAAGCTTAAATTTGGAGTGTAGACCCGCGTCAACCACTCAAGATCACAAGCTATGGCAGATATATCTACGCCCATTGGGTGTGTGGCAAATCGATAAGCAGTATATTCTAAAGTTTTAAAGCTAGAACGTTAAAACTTTATACGTGTGCTAATTGTATAACTCTATAAAAGTTAATAAAAACAAGAAGACTCTAGTCGAGACTGCTCGACTAGGAGATACCCTGAACCCTCCAAGCAGCTGGTATTTCAATAATAATTCGCACACACACAGACGCACATACACGGACTGCGCTTGGGTTGCGCTGCAGTGTTGGCAATATAATGAGAATTTATTTGTTAAATAATTAAATTTCTATACGTACGATCTTAATGAAACTTATGTATATACCGAAGCTCAAGTCTCTAATATTTGAAATACGTTTTTTACAAATATGAGGGTGAGGGAGTGGATATAGGGGTGAGGGGTAAATTTGAACAAAAATTGAAATTGTATAAAATGCATCTCAATATTTCTTCACAACTTGGAGACTCTAGCCTTAAAGATGTGGGAGATATAATTGTATAACTTATTTTCGATAAGGTTTTTTATCGATAACAAAATAACGGGACAAGTTATCGATTTTTAATGATAAGCTCGATATGCGCGCGCTATGTACGGACATTTAAAAAAAAAAGTTGAAGTCTCTAGCTCTTTTATCTTCTGAAATCGACGCTTTCAAACATACGGACGGACGGACAGACGGACGGACAGGGCCAAATCGACTCATCGCCCTGATCAAGAATATGTACACTTTGTGGGGTCTTTGATCAAGAATATATACACTTTGTGGGGTCTGCCAAGCCTCTTTCTGCCTATTAGACACATTTCAACAAAACCATTATACCCTGGTTTCCCATTTTCAATGGGTTCAGGGTATTACAAGTAAAAACAAGTAAGAAAGCTCTAGTCGAGACTGCTCGACTAGGAGACACCCTGAACCCTCCATTCTAATCGTTCTGTACTTCTTTTATGCAAATATGCATACATACACATGGAGATATAAAAACGAGCTCTGCTAACTGCGCAGTAAGCAGCGACTACGCTTGGGCCGCGCTGCAGTCTGGGCAATATTATGAGAATTTATTTGTTAAATAATTTAATTTCTAGACGTACGATCTTAATGAAACTTGTAGAACGTAATTATGTTTAAGTGTATGTACATTCCAAGATCTGCTGGACCAATTTTCATGGTTTTTGATTTGTTGGATTTGTCTCCGCT